CGCCGCCCTCCGAGCTGCACCATCGGAGCCGGTCATACTGAGCTCCCACAGATCTGTGTCCAGTACCCCGAGGCCTCTGGCAATCGAGGAACCACTGCAGAGCAGAACAGCTACAGCTTGCCAGCCTGGCAACGGCTACAGCAGGCTCTGCCTGACCCTGGGCCCCAAATTACGTTTTACTCCCGTCATTTGCTCATGTCCACAGAAACTGGCCAAATGCTTTCCTGTTTTTGCTTTGTTTTGTTTTGTTTTGTTTTTATAAAGAGAGATTTTGCTATAGGGCACATATATTCACCAGAAAGAGAGAGAAAAAGAGAGAAATCACTCCTCAAGGGGAATGGCCACATTGCAATCCCTTTTCCTCCATTCTCTTCTCAGGATTTTGGGCACACATGTACCAGCACCCAGCATGATTTTCAAGCCTCCAGGTCTGGGACTCAAACCGTGGTCAGCCAGGTGGGAGTCCAACGCCTTAACCACTATGCCACCTACTGGCCCTGGTCCAAATGCTTTTTAAATATATCCCACAGATTTCCCAAAGAGAGACTGCCGCACAAACCAGCACCACGAAAGGAATGAGAACGGGATGAGTACCTGCCCCAGAAAGCAAGCTCAGGGCTGCCTCTCGTGTGGAGGGTGTCGCTGGCGTCGTTCAGCCCGTTGGTGACCCCAGTAGAATAGCCCATCACGATGCCGCCATCCGACGAGACGCTCAGGACATCCTGCTGCTCTCCTGCCGACGTCCTCTCCAAGAACTGCCCGCCTTCCTTAATGCGCTGCTGAATCATGGGCGTGAGGGGCAGCTCGAAGCTGAAGTAGCTGTCTGGCTCCGAGTACAGCGTCTCCAACGACTCTGCGCTGTAGTACAAGGACGTGTTGTCCAGGATGGTTTCGAACTGGGAGCTGTACACGTCAGTGGAGTCCTCGGTATAGCCGGGCCCGAGGACGTCGTCTTCTCCTCCCCTAAGGTGCTCCTCTTGCTCAAGGATCCTGGAAGTTCATCAGAATGAAGAATTTCAATATCGGGTTAACCATCTCAAAAGGATCACGTCGGGTAGCTCTAATGCTCATACTGAGCTTGGATCTCAGTAACGTATTTGGGGAGGGAGAGACGAAACAGTGGAGGGGAAGAGAGGCTGAGCATACCGAGGCCGCCACTACAAATAACGTAGGAAGTTTCAAACCGCTTTCCTAGGGTATGAATACATCTAGTCCAATGACTATTATTGCTTTACATTAGCCAAATACATTCTAAAACTTTCGATTATTTACAACTATCACTTCTGATATTAACACGAGCAGATACATATATGATGTAAACTTGATAGAGTCAACTTTCGATAAAAATACACTAAACTTTCATCCGTCTATTAATGCTTTCTGATGTAAATGAGACCAAATGCCCTCAGAGGATAGCTGGATCCGAATCCCAGGGCTGCCCCCTGCTGACAGTGAAGCTGCACTGCAGAGATTTCAGGTGCAAAACGAGGCAGCCAATGAGTGACCTAAAAAAGCCCAGAGGAGTATTTATTGAAAGGCTAATCCAAACCCTGAGAACTGGGAAACAACTTGGAAGTTAATATACAGGCATAGGCCGTTCATAGGGGTACACAGAATAGAATACACATACGCAGTATCGTCTTCAAATGTTAAAACTATTGGGATAACTTAGTAAATGGTAAATTAGTGAAAACTTAGTTAATATGAGGATGACTTAGTAAAACTCACAACTTGGGAGATAGATCAGTGGTAAGAGGAAGAAGAGGGCGAGTTGGAAAAGCCTGGAGCTAGTGTTCGGGGGTGCCAAGTACTAGCTAGTCATCCTGGCAACTTCCCCTGCCTCCTGAGCCTCAGACTCCAAAAAGCAGGAATAAGAAATAACAGTTACCTATTAAGGATCTTGTCAGTAACCACATCCCTAGGTATAACCAGAACTCACACTGAACAATGAAGTTGTCTTTGTTGTTTTTAAATTACTGAAGGTCCATGCACCAAATACTATTCTAGTTTTGCGCTTCTTGAATGGCTTGCGGTTGCTTTTAGATAAAACCGTAAGTTCCCATGCCATCTCTCCACGCTCACTTCCCAACGCCCGCCCCTGCGCCTTGGCTCCAACCATTCTGGGAGGGTTTCACATCTTCAAAGCTGACGTAGGGTCTTTGCTTCCCACACAGGAAGCACCCTGTGAATCCCTTCACCCTTCATGAATCCAACAGTCCTCTTGTGTACCTGCTGTTCTCTCCTTCTGGAATATTCTTCTTCCCTGCCATGCCAGCCTTGGCCTTGCTAACTCTTAGCACTCCTACAGTTTCAACTGAATCACCAGAATGGCTTTGCCCGAGCCATCAACTGAAGGATCTGTCTCCTCCATCCAAATGGTCTCTTCTAGTATGTGTCCGTTCTCTCCCATCACAGAACCCCATATGATCTGTGGCGGTATACTTATTAAAGTGTTTATGGGGCCGACGTTTACGTCAGCAGAACACTGCACGAGACTGGAGGCTACAGACCGGATCTATTTAGAGCAGTCCTGTATGTCCAGCATCAAGCAATGTCAAGGGCACACTAGGTAATAAAAAGACATGTGGGCGGCAGGGGAGGCGGGAGGACAGGAAGGCTGAACTGCTTATCTGAAGCGCAGACGTCCAGATTCCGGTGGGAATATGAACACTGAGCCATCTGGCACAGGACAAGGCTGCTGTTGAGGGAAGTCTCGAGACATGACGTGCCAGTGCAGGGACTGAGGGGAGAATCAGATAGATTCCCTCATCGAGCATCGCCCGGGGGATTTGGGAACTGCAGAGAAAAAGGCATCTCCTTATACCAAGCGAAAAACTAAGAACAAAAAACCCTTTGGTCTGGACACAGGGGTTCCAAATGTGTTGTCTTAAGGACTCAGAGAAGAAGATGCGATGCAGATTTGAAGACAGAACACAACGAACAGCTTCGCCGCATGGAGCACTCTCAGGAGCCAGCCTGTGGCGTGAAGGCGGCTAGATCCCTCGGGGCCAACTGCACATTTCAAGTGCTGGACCCAGCTGCTGGGAAATCTTCTGGGTGTGTGCGTGAGTGCCCAGAATCCTGAAAAGAGAATGGAGGACCCCAGGCAGTACGCTCTTTCTCTCTCTCTCGCTCGCTCTCTTGCGCTCTCTCTCTCTGTCTCTGTCTCTGTCTCTGTCTCAACCCAGCAAGTGCACATACCCTATAACAAAACCTAGGAAAAATAAATAAATAAATAAGGAACACCTTCTGGGGAGACTAGGATCGAAGGAAGATGGGCCATGTCTTCCATTCGCCCAGGTGTGGATCTCAGAAATGTAGGGGGAGACCAGGAAATACCAGAAGGTACCGCGTTCACTTATCAAGGCTACAAATCAAAACACCTTCCCCCTGTATGGAAGGATTCCCACGTTGACTACCATGAAACCAACCAAGTTAGAGACTCTACCTCTGGCCTTCAGAGATTCCATTCTAATTAGAGAAGTGAGTGGGCCCAACCCAGCAGCTCTGAGGTCACACGTATGCAAGCTTCATGGCAGGGCTGTGAGCAGCTGGACCGTAACACCCAGTGCTGCACCCACGGGAAGTGCCTACTTTAGAACGTACTGACTACACAGGGTATGTTGGAGGAGCCCGAATCGTTCACATTATTAGAAACAACCGTACAGTATTTCATGCTGGAAAACTTTAAACAAAACGTTACTAATGGACGCAAAGAGTTGAGTGTTCATAGTCTCTGCAGAATTCTGTCTCCCTGGTCTGTGCCCAGTGGACAACTTTCTTACAAGATCACTTGAAAATCTGAGAAACTTCGAAGGACCTAGTGCTCATGTAATTTCTCTTCCATTCTTTGGGAATGAGGGCCCAGCATGCGGTGAGCCGGGCGTACATGTCCAACACGGGAAAAACGTTTCTAGGCTAGCACCAAGTACCATGGGGAGCGGGCGACCTGCGAACTCACCTGTTCTGGTCTCTCTCCAGTTCAGATTTCTTCTCGAGATGCTGTCTGCTGTCCTTGAGGAAGACCTCATCCTCTCCACTCTCAGCGAGAGGCACGGGAGAGACCGTCCCTGAGCTAGTTCCAGGTCTCTGTGCAGGACCCTTCCAGGTTGCATCCCAAACACTCGTGGTTTCCCTAACGGAGCTGCACCCCCCAGCAGATGGGATGCAATGGCTTGGCACTTGGGAAAACTCTCTGCTTCCAGGAGAAGCTGTCCTTTCCAGCGAGGTCTCAAAATCTGCCGGATGCTGAGTTTCTTTCTTCTCTCCTGTCCACAAAATCTCCACCCCTTGAAACTCCACATGTTTGACCCGGCCTGAGCGTCCCATGGAGCTGCCTCGGTCATATACCCTGGGGTGCTCTCCCCCAACATGAGACCTCTCCTCTTTCAGAAAGCCAATGCTGCCCGCAGAGCTGTGGATCACTGCGGCGTTCCCCGGGGAGGACACAGGGCAAGCTGGTGCCTGCGCACAGAGCACCCCTCGCTGACCATTCTCAGTTATCTGGGAAAGTTCTGCCTGAGTTTTTCCAGTTAACAGAGCTGTCAGATCCTTCTGGATGCTCAAATCAAAACGATCCTCGCTTGTCACGTCAGCTGAAAGAGGTATATCTGGTGATTGCTCTTGGCCAGCAGGAAATGGTTTCTTGGCTCTCTGTGTCCTATGAAGGGCAGTATCCGGTTCTTTCTCCTCCAGCTGAACTGAAAGGCCAGAAACAGCATCTCCGTCTGGTACCTTTGTAGCCTGTAATGTTCCCGAAGCTATTCTGGCTTCTGTGGCTTTCAGAGCTGAAATCAAAGAGTCAATGGGCTGTAAACTTTGTTCCTTGAGGTGACTTTGAGAGGAGGCCTCTCTAACATCTTTTGGTCCTTTCGTAACACTGTCCAGCACAGAGTGGTGGCCGGCAAGACCCTGGGTCCCCTGCTGCCCTTGAGGGCAACATGGCTGAGACTCTGCATCAAACTCCAGAGAAGCCCCTAGGCCTTCTCCACCTTCCTCCATGGTCCCATATTCTGGAAATTCATTTGTGACATTTGGCGGGAGTAAAGTGCTTCCTCCATGATCACCTGTGGACAGAACAGACGGACACATGACTTGCTTTAGAACGGCAGGGCCCAGCGTTACTAGGAACAGGCGCTCCACCACACTTACGCATTTGGTTCTTTCACTGCCTCGTTCCTCCACCACCCTGTGATATGAACGCCTCATGACCTCACAGCAGCCCCTTCTATGTGGCCTGCATGAGGGTAACCACAAGTTCCACCACAGAAGGAGGTGATCTAATGGCACACGCCAGAGAGTCCTCACAGGCGGCTTCAGCACCTCAGCACCTCACATGCAAAACGAGGTTAAAATAAGGATACATTCCAAATATCGCTCGCGAAACACCAACTAAAGTATTAACGTTGGTCATGACATCTAGCCTCAAGATCTCATCAACAATTATTGGGGGAGTGCAATGTCCGAGACAGACCTCAGGAAAGAAACAGACGATCTGCTAAAAGTCAGTTCCTAGTTTTTCAGCAAGTCTCCCATACACTGTTGGATTCCTGTGAGGAAAAAAGTACTTTCAAACGTTCCCAAAACATCAAAGTGAAGCCAAAAAGGAATAGGAAACTGAATATGCTGAAAAGGGTCTCCAGGGTCCCAAATGCATGGGTATTCTTCCTCACTGTCATTACTTGCTTTAATGGACAAAAAAGGTCACATGTTATGGTAAGCAATGTGATGTTCTGATATATGTACATGTAGTGTGATGGCCAAATCAAGCTAATTAAATGCCTGTTTCCTCGCATACCTAGTGTTCGTGGTGAAAATATGTAAAAAAAAAAAAAAAAGTCCTCTTACCAATTGTCAAGTATTCAACATACTGGTGCTTACTACAGTCTACTATGTTGTACAATAGGTCTCCTGAATGTATTCCTCCCATCTAACTGAAATTTGATCTTTTTTTTAGAGAGACATTTCCTATAGGGAGTATGCACTCGCCAGAGAGATGCAGAGAGACTGAGAGACAGAAAGCAAGAAATCATCCCCTGGGGGGATGGCCTCACTGCAATCCCGTCTCCATTCTCCTCTCGGGCTTTGGAGCACAGAAGCACACATACTCGGCGTGAGTTTTAAGCCATCGTGTCCAAGATTTGAACCGCGGTCAACTATGTGGAAGTCCAGTGACGTAACTATTTTCCCATCTGCTGGCCCCAAAATTTGGTATCTTCTGACCAACATATCCCCAATACCCACCCTATTTCTCCAGCACCATTCTACTCTGCTTCAGTGAATGCCAGATCTTTAGATTCTACATGTAAGTAGGGCTGCCAACCAGAGGAAATTTCAACCCTACCCATCTCAATCCTGCCTTACATATAGCCCCAACTTATGAAGCAAAGAAAACAGTAATTAGTAGAGATTTACTACAATGGATCAAATTTTCCTATTAAAATGAAAATCAGTGAGAACCGAGATTGGAGATATTCACATAAACACAAAATTTAAACTGGGAGTTTATGGCTAATAGTTGTAGATGAATAGTTATGCTATGAAGCTATGCTTCAGCTAATAGTTATGCTGTGAGTATCTTACTGTGGTCTTGATTTGCATTTTCCTGATGACTAATGATGTTGAGCATCTTGTCATATGCTTATTAACCACTGAATATGCTCTCAGAGAACTGTCTGTTCTGCTCCTTTGCCCATTTTATAAATGTGTTATCTTTTTAGTATGGAGTTGTAAGAATTCCATATGTTGGACAAAAATTCTTTTTTTTTTTTTTTTTGGAGAGGTTTTTCACTATAGGGCGCATGCGCTCACCAGACAGACAGAGAGACAGAAAGCGAGAAATCACCCCCCAGGGGGGATGGTCACACCGCAATTCCTTCTCCTCTCGGGATCTTGGGCATGCACGCACATGTGCCTGGTGTGAGTTTTAAGCCACCGGGTCCGGGACACGAACTGCGGTCAACTACGTGGGAGTCTAGTGACATAGCCATTATGCTAACTGCTGGTCTCCCCAAAAATTCTTTATCAGACATAAACTTTACAAATATTTTCTCCCATTATGTAGGTTCTTTTCACTTCATTGAAGATGTTGCCTTTCTTTCCTTTTAAACTTGTTTTTTGTATTTATGATGGTGAGTGTTCGTGCAAGCATGAGAGAGACAGTCAGCCAGAGTCAGAGAAGCACCTAAAAACAGGGTGTCTTCATGTTGGCATTCCTTTCCCAAAGTCCTCCAGTTTGCCAGGATCCCAGGCACCTGCATGCACTCCACAGGACTCAGGGCAACTAGACGAGGGATCCGAACCCACAGTTGGTCATGCGGCTTCCAGTACTGCATTTCAGTACACTACTGACTATGCCACAGACGCTGGGCCAATGGAGTCTTTTGAAGCACAGAAGTTTTTAATTTCGATAAAAATCCAATTGAGCTTTCTCCTTTGTCATTGTGGTTTGGTGTCATATGTACCAAATCCTTGTCTAATCCAAAGTGATATATGTTTACTCTATGTTTTCTTCTAAGAATTTAGTGTTAGAACCAGCAGTTAGCGTAATGGCTATGTCGCTGGACTCCCATGTAGTCCGCTATTCAAGTCCTGGACCTGGTGGCTTAAACTCACACCAGGCGTGTGTGCATGTGTGCCCAAGATCCCAAGAGGAGAATGAAGAAGGGATTGCAACATGTCCATCCCCCCTGGGGGGTGATTTCTTGCTTTTTGTCTCTCTGTCTTTCTCTCTGTGTTTCTGGCGAGCACACGCACCCTGTAGCGAAAACCTCTCCAAAAAAAGAAAAAAAAGAATTTATAGTGTTAGCTATTACATTGAGTTATTTCATTCATTTTCAGTTAATTTTTGTATACAGACCCAATGAAGACCCAACTTAATTGTCTTTTTGTACATGGATATATGGTTGTCCTAGCACTGTTTGTTAAAAAGAATATTCTTTCCCCATTGAATTGCCTTGATATCCTCGTAGAAAATCAATAGACCATAAGTGTAAAGGCTTCATTCTGTACTCTCAATTCTGTTCCATTGAACTAAACTCCTATCTTTATGTTAGTATTACACTGTCTTGATTACCGTGGCTTTAAAATAAGTAAAATCTTGAAGTGTGAGTTTCCAACTTTGTTCTTTGTTTTACAGGCACTGTAAGCATTTTGTATTTCCCATATGAATTTTAGGATCAACTTGTCAGCTGAGATTTTGAAAAGGACTGTCATGCATTTATACACTCTTGGGCTTCCTGACAAGAAGTGACAGTGACAGCACATCCTTTGATTCATGGCCACCGGGCTCCTTCCATTTATTCAGTCTTCTTCCATTTCATTCGACAATGTTTTGTAGTTTTAAATGTACACATTTTGCATTACTTTTGTTAAATTTATTCCCCCGAGTATATTACTATTTTGGTAATATTATCAGTGGAAGTTATTTTTCTTTATTTCATTTTGGACCATTCATATATAGAAATACAACTAGATGCTGTTTCTTAGTCTTGTATCCTGCAACCTTGTTGAACTTGCGTTTTAGCTCTAATAGCATTTTTGGAATTTCCTTAGGATTTCCCACATACAAGATCACATCACCCATGCACAGAGGTAAGTTTACTCTTCCTTTTCAACCCGTCTTATCATTCCCAGTGTACTTTCTCTTAACTCCTCTTCAAATGTGTTATGCCAGATCAGCAGGCAACATGAAAGTTAAGGCGCTGGATTCCCACACAGCCGACTGCATTTTGAGTCCCTGTGGCTGAAAATCACACCGGGTGCATGCACATGTGTGCCCAAAATCCCCAGAGGGGACATGGAGAAGGGACTGTAATGTAGCCATCTCCCCTGGATGAGTGATTTCTCCCTTCCCCTCTCTCTGTCTCTTTCTGGCAAACACATGCACCTTATGGCAAAAACCTAGAAAAATGAACAAACAAACAAAAAACAAATATGTTATGCCATAGCTGAGGCAGGGGTTTGGCACATGAATACCTTCGAAAGGGTCTAACCCTAGTACCTGCTGGAAACAGTTAACCAGATGGACACCTGAACTATATACTTCTCGGTTTCGCTCAGTCTCTTCTTACTTGGACACACCTTTTTGATTTCCATCACGATGTGATCAGATTATCTTCACCTTTCAAAAACCAACTGGAACCCCTCTCCTTAATTATTCTCTTAATCACCAATCTTTAAAAGAAGTTGCCTTTCATCCTTATAAATGTCAAAATCATTTTAGCTGTGTATTATATATAGTGCAAATACATGAACTAAACAGTAGACATGTTAGATTACATCTTAAAGCTTCAAAGGCTGCAACGTTTAACTTAGCATAAATGTTTTAAGAAAACTGATGAGTGATGACTGAAGCCGTGTGTCTACACAACACCCAAGCATGGTACGATGGAATCCACTCAACAACAACGGAGAAGTTGAACTTTATGATTTAGGAGCCTACTTTGTTATAAAAGTTTAAACTGCTATCTATAAAACGACCATGAAAATAAAGACTGGCCCAGAGAGAAGTGATCACAAAGTATTTAAGAAAAGGAGCTGCTAAGCGATTCGATAATTCCTCCACTCCATTTTTAATACGTTTCATTGAAATGGCCCTCAGGAACAGAGCCCAAAACCATAAACTGTGGCTAAATGCTCATGATGTTTGAGGCAACAGCTCTGCAAATGGCCAAAAATGCTGAGATCAATTAAAAGGGGGGAGGACAAGAAGCCCAGCCACAGTGTCATATTGCTTCCAAGAAACTGCTCTCCCGGCCGAGATGACATGGGAGGCCGGGATGACATGGGAGGCCGGGATGACATGGGAGGCCGGGATGACATGGGAGGCCGGGATTTGATTACCAGTCTGACCTAAAGGACAGGCCCACTGGTGTTACCTGTAATCCCAGAAACCTGGGAGGCTGAGGCAGGAGGAATTGTGAGCCTGAGACTGGCCTGCACGATATAGTGAGATAATATGTTTTTAAAAAGTGAGGTAGGGGGCTAGCAGGAGGCATGGTGATTAAGGAGCTGGATTCCCACATGATTGACCCAAGTTCGAGTCTCAGATCTGGGGGCCTGAAAA